ATATATATATATATATATAACAGGAAAAGGTGAAGGATACATTACAAGGCCTCTATTTGGTACTGCTCCATAACCTGCCTCCAGCCAGGTAAAAATTCTTCAAAATACCAAAAAAAAGGGTAAACTTTAGGAACTGGATATTTAAATCCAACCAAAAAAATTTGAAGTAAATCATACTATCACAAATTGGCATTTGTAACAAAATACATAGTGATTTTATAGATAAACCAGAGGTCCAAAAAGTAAAGAATATTTAATAGATTTAAGGTAAATTTGAATTTAAAAGCACAACATCAATCAACAGAATACCAAAACTGCACCAACATCCACATAGAAATTAAGGGATGCCGGTAAGCAGGCCAATTAATAGATACCATGACTTACCCGTCCAAAAGGGTGAATCTCTAGTCAATAAAGTCTAGATTTACTTCAAAAAATCAGCAATATAAGGCTAACAAGTGAGGAGAAACTAAGGAATTGACTGCTAAAGGAAAAATTTAGGGAACATGATGTAGTATGTTACCTTCTGAAGGCCACTGATTTGGACCATAAAAGGGCTTCTCTGCATGAGAATCCTCTTCAGATACTTCAATGCCTATACAATATCCTTCTTTGAAATCACCTAGCATATCCAAAAATATAGCATTTTACCATTCAAAAATTATATAAAACATCAGGCACATAAAGAAATTGTTCAAGCATCATCGATAAGTTATTTATGAATCTGTTGGGGGAGTAGGGGTAAGGGTGTATATAAAAAGAAATAACTAAATTTAATTTAGGATGGAGGATAAAATTAATTAAATTGGATGACCAGAAGAGTGCCTTTGTAGCACCATGATAATGCCCTAGAGAAAATGTGTGGACAAGCACCTTCCATGCTTTATCTCATTGGCTAAAAGAACTACTTTTATTATGTTTCTTATATTTACCAACATTTAACTTCCTGTTATATGCTAAAAGAGTGAAGCTATAAAAGAATTTCCCGTTTTTATTGCCGCCTTTTCTCTTGTCTCTAGTAAAAGATATAGGATCAATTGGGTCTGCAAGAATTAAAGAAGAGGAAATGAAAGAAAATATGAAGGGTAAAGAAATTGAATTAAATTTATTTTTCACCAACTTGAATGATTGAGGAGAAATTGAGCGGCAACTTTTTATCATCATTATTTGGTTGATCAGAAATTGGCTTGTCCTTTATGATGAGCACACTTCTGGGTCATAATAATGGCCAATATTTCATTTCATTTTTCACTAGCATTGAGTATGATATTGTCAACAAATAAAATAACATATATTCACATTTTCTAGCGAAATTCAATTACTTTTAGTGTCAATAGAATCAAACACCCAATGTGACATCTATATTACATATCATATATTAAATGTGGAGAGAGAAGTTGAAAAAAATAGATGTACAATAAGAAAGCTCCATTTTGAAAGGTGGTTCTCATCTAGTCTTAAGATTAAAAATTTTAGAAAGTCAAGAAAAATATATTATGAAAGAATTTACATTTTGAAATTTTTGGACTATAATTTCCTTTGAATAATTGAAAAACAAAATTTACATTGAAATTTGAAAATGATATTATCAATTTTTCAAATTATTATTTTGCTTTGTTTTGCCAACATATTTGACTTTTAAACTCCTCACTGTGGCAGCTAAGACTATTGTGCATGCCCATGCACTTTATAATAAAGAAATGACGAGAGAAAAAATCAGGAGGATGGGCCATGTGAATGACATCTCATCCCAAAATCTTAAAACTTTCTTAGATGAAATGTGTTCCATCTCATTCTAAATTTTTAAATCAAAAAAATATAAGAGAAGACAGATTCAAAATTAGGCTCAAGGATACTAGCTGCACAAATTTAGTCATTCAATCAGTTTTTTTCTTTGAGGACTTATTTTATTTTTGAAATTAAAAGCATGAAATAAATTCTTATGATTTGTATTTAAGACTATAAAATTTTCATATTTCATACACACTTCTAAAGCTATTTTATAGTTAATTTATAGAAAACTTATTTTATAATGTGTAATGAAAATAAAGTAATAAATAAACATAAAAAATATGAAACATCATATTTTCTTCAATATTTTAATAACATGAATGTTGGCCCTTAAAATAAAAAAAAAGAGAAATAATTAATCAAATGAAAGCATTTTTAATTGTTCCTGCTAATTCACCCAAATAATTAATCCTAGTACCTCACTCTCTCTTACAATTAAGTTAACGCTGTACAAAGATACGGCCGGGTCTGGGCCCCAACAAGGAGAAAAAAATACCACACATTGCTCGTAGTTCGCACGCAAGAAAATCGTAGGAGCACACAACCACCAATCTTTTCTCTCATCACTGTGGTTCCTACCGTACAATTGCATTTAGGGTTGTTAAAACGGTTTGTTAGACGTGAACAACTTGTGTTAGGCTCGTTAAGAAGTTCGTATTCGATTTGTTCGCTAACTTAACGAGTCAAACACGAACATTTTTTTTGTGCTTGAAATATAAATGAGCCGAACATGAACAAAAATTTGTTCGTACGTGTTCGACTCGTTTTGACTCGAAAACTTATATATATATATATATATATATGACGGGAGTAGTAATTGACTACAAGTCTACAAAGAATTATAATAAATTAAAATTATTAATTTAAAAATAGAATAAAAATATATTTATATTTAAATGATATTGTAATATAATAATAAGATTTAAATCTCATCTCAATCTTTAACATCCCATGGTTGTCGTATCTAGAGTTGTCAAAATGATTCTTTGTTCGTCAATAGCTTGTGTTCTGTGTTCGACTCATTTGCTTAGTTTAGGGTTGCCAAAATAGCTCTTTGTTCATCAACTCGCTCTGCTCCGCTCGTTTGCACCCCTATCGCAACCAGGGCATCTGGATCGTTGCACATGAGACCACCGAAACTCCTAGCGTCGCTCCTTGGTCTCCCCGTGTCACACGATCCTTCAGCCCAAGCCACAAATTAGTGGTGAAGACAATAGTGGAATCACTCCGTATGAAGTTCTTCCAAACTCCCCATTTCTCCTCTGCTCTGTACAGCAGGAACTCCAGGTACCCAAGCCCCATCTCCTCTCCGTTCACGCGACACCAAAGCACGATACAATCCCGATTAAAGCTCCAGAGGAAACCAACGACGGGATCGCTTCATAGCCGAAGCAGGAACTGCAGGAAACCAAGCCCCATCTCCTCTCCGTTCACCGTTCACGCGACACCAAAGCACGATACAATCCCGATTAAAGCTCCAGAGGAAACCAACGACGGGATCGCTTCATACGAGAACATCCGAAACTTCTAATTTCCTTCCTTGTGCGACACCTGCCCACAGTCCTGGCTAGGGCTAATCGGAAAAGCCACCACAGGATCGTTGTGGACGAAGAAGATGTCAAGAACTCCATGGACAGAATCATGTGGTTAGGTCTCTGTGAAGACGACGAGAAGATCGTTGCGCACAAAGGTTTCGAAACTCCTGTTCTTTCCTGTACAACACAACGAAGGAGAGGTGGCCTCATGTCCTGAAAGAGCATCAAATCTTCGACTCCTATTGGGTTGAGGTTGCAGTAATCATCTCAGCATTGACCATAACATTCTAGGCTATATCAAATTTAACACGGTAATCATCCCTGACCTCTACTTCCGAATCATCCATAATTTTAAAATAACAGTAAAATAATTTCAATCACCATATTGCGTCCTTCAGTAAAATCCAGATTATTTATTCTAACCTTTGCTCTATTATAGTTTTTTATCTCGACTCGGCCCATGAATTTATAGCTTTTTATCTCGACTCGGCCCATGACTTGAAATTAGCTAACACGAGAACAAATGATCGGACGTTGGAAATATATTTTCTATTTTTTTATTTCTATCACTAACAATTAAATATTAAAATATTCACAAAAAAATCATTAAAGAAAGCAAATGTAATTAAAATATAAAAATTTATATCTTTCTAATTGTTGTTCCTGTCATTTGTACACATTGAATTCTCTTAAATTCATCTTAATCAAAAGCTTAAACATGATGAAATATATTAAATCAACATAATAATCTATCTAAAGATAATCTAGGATCAACCACACTTCGAAACTATAGTGTCAAACGGGAACAAATCAATATGCATGTTGGTCTTTCATATATCTATAAAAAACATTATAATATTTTGATCTTTCATATTTTCATAAGAAATCTTATATATACTAATGCATGTATTAATGATTTTTCTAAATGAAAATTAACAGATCTTTTATATGTATTTACTTTAATTTTACTTTTACTTTATATTCTTTACATACATATTTGTTTGTTTTGAGGATCACTGTCAAAACAGCCTAACACATCCTTAGTCGATATTTCTCAGTCGTCTCTCGTCGACATGACAGTTAGTGATGTAAATCTTACAATTGTCTAAGATGGAATGACTCTTATCTACATTCTATCCATCACAATTATTTAGGGTGGAAAGATCTCTTTACTGGCCTCTGACTGAAATTATCTCGCCGGCACAGTTTTTAATGAACTAACTATCATAATTGTTTCGAGCGGTATAAAAACACCACGTGCGCTGGTCCATGGCTTCAACTACCTATAGCATTGGGGAGTGAACTCCTCTGAACATGGGCGTATAAACATTCATATATAAATTATTTCATTCTTTCATATGATGCATTTAGGTTTATATGAAACAATTTACATTTAACAACCAATGAATAAGTGCACATTTACTAGTATCAAAATAACATGCATTAGTCTAATAATTTAGATAAATTATTATGCAATTGGTTGTGCATGCTTATTTTCAACAAGTCATGTAATGATATGCTATTTGATTTCTACTTGAAGCTATAGATTGATATATATATATATATATATATATATATATATATATACACATTTTTTTCTACACAAATATATAGGAAATTCAACGCCTATGTATGTATTTTCCTATCTACCAATATGAAGAGGCTCATATAATATAAATTTCATTGAAATAAAAAATAAATGAAGCATCAATAAAATCAAACATACATTTTGAAATAAAGCTAATTACTGAAATTTAGAATATAATTACTAACAAGTTCACATATGATTGAGTCGCTGACATCTTATTTCACTTAATAAATTATAAAAATGGTCATAGTGAAGGAGCGAGCTTTTCTTACTTAATTAGCCATAAAGGACCGTAATAGGAGAGTCTTATTTTATTAGTCAAATGACGGGAGTTGTCTAGTTCCTAAATGTATCCAATTAGACGAGTTCAAGTGATCTAAATCTAGGGACTAGCTCAATAAATTGACGGATGAAGGTTAAGTCCATGAGAAAATATACACTCAAAAAATAGCCATGCAATCAAGCTAAAACAATCTCAATATACAAGTTTATGATACAAGAAATGAGAATTTGAAGTCTATAAGATTTAAGCCTATTCAGTTGAAGAAGCATAGTTATTTGTAGTCTGCCTATGACTCAAGCAGGTCTTGAAGTTCGGACTCAACAAACCTAAACATGGTGAGTCACAACAAACCATAAAAAAGGGCAAGCTAAATTGAGAATAACCAAATTGATGAGCTACTCTGCTAAGTTAAAAATTTTCTAATACAACTAAAAAATCGAACCTGTGACATAGCCATCCGGGTTGTACTCTGATGTATAAAAAAGAATTCTTAAATTCCTTTATGTATTGCACATTTTTTATGGATAAAATTGCACTTTAAAGAGAGATAATTTCATATTTTTCATGCAGGTACAACATGCAATAAAAGTGGAGCAATGTGGAGTAAAGTTTGAGCAAAAGAGCAAAATGGAGGACTGAAGCCTAGGCGCCAGTCCCTCACTTAACAAACCGAGAAGGCGGCACTTAGGCACCCCCCACTTGGCACTTGGTGCCTTGACACTGTGACACTGGCACCTAGACGCCACTTCCTTGGGCTCCAAGGCGCCCAGGCCATTCTGTGCATACCAAAAGACTAGCGCCTAGGCGCCATCCTCTGAGCGCTTGGATGCTAGCAACTGCCTGAGGCAGTTTTGAGCAGTTCGAGTGCTTGTCATGAGGAGTTATTGGGAGGTCGTGGGGGTGAAAATGGAGTCTATATTATGTCTATGTAAAGGGTTATTAAGGGTTGTTGAAGAGTGGTTGAAGGATTGATGTTAGTAGGTATAGGATTAGTGAATTTAGGGAGATTGATGTGAGTTTGTAGCCCGCTGTTGAATCCCCATCTTCTTCTAAGGCAAAGGATAAAGAGATCCTCTAGAAGTAGCAGCAAGGGAAGCATTTGACGGAGCATCTCCAGTTGTAAAGGAGAGGAAGATAAGTGTTTGTGTATTATATTGTTTGTATTTTTTTAAACACCTCATTTAGTGGAATTCTCTT